CGAATCACTTGTGGATATCACGAAAGATCACTGAGACTCGTTCGCGGATAATCGTTTATTCGACGCGTTCGTTCGGGAGTCGACATTTCACTGCCGAAAAATTCAGACCTCGACCGCGGGCCCTTGTTCGTCGTTCGGTCGTCCGAGGAAATGAAACCCGATACCATTTTCTTCGAATGGCCATTAATTACGTTCTAAGAGCGCAGGGTACCGTCGGTGACAGCGGGTCGGCCGTAGTTTACGTCTCTGCACATCTGGTTTATTTCATATGGCGGTACCCTGCGCTTTTGGCCGAGGCTTCCCGTTTATAGGTAGGCCCCACCATTCATGAGAAGACCCATCTATAGGGTCCCGGGAAAAGGGGAAGCCGCCCATACGTTCACTCCGACTTAAGAAGCGTTCAGGAGCGCGCATAGGAAAAATGTGTGTATAGAAGGGAGTGGTTGTACACGTCGGCAGCTACCACTGTAACTGCGTCCTCTGTGAGACTGAACCCCGTCAGCGAAAACAGTCAGCGCTGCTGTGAAGGTGGAGAAGCCTTGGACAGTAGAGACAAGGGCCAAAGGATCTATGTTGCGCATACCTGTCCCTTAACCGACCAACCATCGGTGTTGATTACGCATAGTTTCGGCCCTGTCGGACAGAGAGAAGCGAGCAGCGAAGCACATGGCGGCAAAACGTCGTGTACATATTGCCGACGAACATTTTCTCGATTTACTCGAAATGTACATCGTTCCGACACTTTTACCGAACCGTTTCTTCTCCAGAAGTGTCTACAGAATCCGATCTTGGATAGAGTTTTGGTGCGGGACAAACTAGTTTTCGTAAAAGTACAAAAACATTGCGCAGAAACTACGCCCGTCGAAAATTTTTAAAATTTTGACATTAATTTATTGCTACTTAGGACCAAAAACAATTAATAAATTGAATGCCACTATATTCGGGAAACTCTCCTCTATTTTTTAAGACCGATTAGAACTATCTAACATTTTCACTTTTCATGCAATAACTCATTTTTGTCAAAAATTTTGGATTTTTACAAGAGCTCATTTTTTTCGAAAACTGTGGGTGATGGAGCAATTCGGTTTTCAGATCCTTGTTGGAGGAGTGAAGTTCTACAAGAATTTCATAGTGACTACAGGAAATCAAAAATCATGTCGGGCAGTGTTATACGCACGAATATAGTAATGAATTTGTATAGCTACGTATCATGGTAGTAGTAATGCTTAGAAAATGCATCAGAATGGTGTACTACTCTTCGGAGAAAATATTCGAGCAGAATCCTAAACGCGATTGTTGAAATTACTTATTATTAAAAGCGAAGAATACTATTGCCTGTACAGGGTGACATTTTTAATTTGAACATCGAAATTATTGCTGTCACTATTAAAGTTTGTTACGTTGATCGACGAATGGGAAAAGAATTGGGAGAATTATTGAAGAATAAAGCAAACGGTACGAAATATTGGGTGCTGTTTTGTTCATACATCAGAAATTATATCATGCAATTTCCTTATCTCGTATCTTATGAAAAAATATTAAATTTTATATTAATATTGTCTTTTTATATATATAGTTATTAAACACTATATAATTATAATAATTATAAAGAGAGCTGTCCGTTCTGTCGAATCGAATACTTTTTGCCAATGGTGACATCAATCCTACGACAATTGCATTCTCATTTCACAATATACTTGAATGCAAGTATCTTTTAAATTAAGTACAACTTAATAGAATTATGAGGAAATTATATGTCCAGTCGTAACCGCTCCTGATTGGTCGTCACTGTTGCGGAACGGTCACCGAAGCGTAAAGCGTAACCACGGCTATATATACCACAAAATTTGACAAATAGTTCATTTGACGCCTTGTATCTACATTAGCAGCATGGAGAACTTTAAGACTTTCCTTGATGTGATCGGAGTGCTGGACCCTACCAAGGTGGATTTTATTTCCGAACTTCCGCCGGAGGTGTCGAGGTTGATCCTACGCATGGCGGATTCTCGATCTCTGCTTTGCACTGCTAGAGTGTCAAGTAAGTGGCTAAGTGTCTGCAAGGATGATCCTGTCCTGAGACGAACCGCAAGACACTATAAGCAGTGCACAATGCGGAGAAGGAGAGAACATTTTCCTGTGACAGCTGTTGTAGAACCGAAGGCGACAGTACGGAGGGCAATTCCAGTTCCCGCACAGATGAGAATAGCATCTCACGTACAAGCTCGGTCAGGTTCGACAAGTTCGACGCGTGGTAGATCCGTTAGGATGTAATATTTTGTATTAATAAATTATTTAAACTGACGTGCTTCTTTCAGCAAATAATTATTATTATTATGTTTTAGTTAAGTAAGTACAATATAACTTTTAATTTTTTGATGTATCTTGACCAGCTTCTTTAATAGTAGCAATTGTTTCTTAGTTTTAGATTTATAGAATTATATTTGACGATCTTTGCAGTCAATGCGAGTAAAGTACAACTATAGCAGATTTCTATATTTATCTGCATTTCATACCTACAGACAGGGTGTCCATGAAAAGTATGAACAAGCAGGCACCAACCAAGATGGCATAAATATGTCTTTAAGACGTTTTAAAAACATCTGGTGTAGAATATTCGAAACGTCTTATTCTGATTATTCTGTTGCGACAATCTGAACAATCGGAATAATTTGGAACTTCCAGAAAAGTTAATGGTAGTCACCATTAATGTTCGGACATATTTTCAAACACAATAACTTTTTTAGAACTGGAGTAAATGACTCGAATATAACCCTACGCTCTTAGAACGTAATTAATGGCCGT